TTCGGTCTACGAGGGTACGTAGGCACACTCTCCCCTTTCATTGCTATGCATCTCCTAGATAGATCTTGCGTGAGCGTAGCAATTTTTTTGAAATTGCAGGCTATGTTTCCCAACACGAAATAGCAGGTTCCAAGTGGTTCTCCAAGCTTGACCTTAGAGCCGGTTATCACCAAATTCGGCTCCGACCGGAGGATGAACATAAAGCAGCATTCAAGACACACTTGAGACACTACCAATTCAGAGTTATGCCCTATGGATTGGCTTATGCACCGACGAAATTACAGGGAGGCACGCACATTGTTCTCTCTCCAGTACTTCACAAAGGGGTGCTTGTATTTATGGATGACATTCTGGTTCATACACAAGAGCTGGAAGAACACCAGTGACTGCTAAAAAAAGTCTTGCAACTCCTCTGACAAAATGGGCTGAAAGCAAAGATGTCCAAGTGTACCTTTGCACAAAACAAAATCAGTTATCTGGGTCACATTATCAGTGAGCAAGAAGTCGCGACTGACGTCAGTAAAGTACAAACAGTCCAGGAGTGGCCAGAGCTGACAAATACAAAGCAATTGCAGGGATTCCTCGGCCTCGTCGGCTATTATCGGAAGTCCGTGCGCTCCTTCGGGGTCATCAGCAAGCCACTGACCAATTTACTAAAAAAGATTACTCTGTTTGTCTGGACGCCCACAGCGGCATCAGCCTTCGCGGCTCTCAAACGAGCCTTGGCTGAAGCCCCGGTACTCATGCTGCCCAACTTTCAGCAGCAGTTTGTGGTCGAGATCGATGCCAGCACCACGGGAATCGGCGCCGTGCTCATGCAGCAGAATCACCCCGTGGCCTACTTGAGTAAAGCATTGGCACCAAGGAATATGGGACTGTCAGCCTATGAAAAAGAATGCATCGCCCTCCTACTAGCAACTGATCACTGGCGCCCGTATATGCAGCATGCGGAGTTTGTTATACATACGGATCAGAAAAGCCTCCTCAATCTGATTGACCAGCGGCTCAACACACCTATCCAACAATGGGCGTTCACCAAGCTGATTGACCTTCAATTCATCATTCAGTACAAGGCGGGACACACCAACAGGGCGGCCGTTGCTTTGTCTCGTCGTACACACACAGAGGAGATGGAGCTTGCAGTGATCTCTGTTTGCACACCAAAATGGTTGGATGCCATCAAAAAGAGTTAGCAGGGGGATGCAACAGCTCTTCAGCGTTTGACACAGCTCGCGTTAGACCCGTCAAGTGACCCCGGATTTGTGCTGCAGGATGGAATCCTCCAATTCAAAGGGCGGGTTTGGATTGGGGGTGACGAGCAGATTTAGCACAACCTAATCCATGCACTACATGCGAGCGCAGCCGGAGGCCACTCGGGATTTCGCGCAACATACAACAGAGTCAACTGGCCGTTTGCGTGGCAAGGCATGAAACAACAAGTCAAGATAGTGGTGCGTAATTGTATGACATGTCAACGGGCCAAAACTGAGAGAATGTCACCCGCGGGGTTGCTTCAGCCTCTTCCTATACCACAGAAGCCATGGTCAGTTATCTCGATGGACTTCATTGAAGGCTTGCCGCGCTCGGGGGGATATGACACCATCCTAGTCATTTTGGACAATTTCTTCAAATATGCCCACTTTGTACCACCGACACACCCCTTCAATGCAATTCAAGTGGTCAAAATGGTCATGCGGGAGATCTACAAGTTGCATGGGCTACCTCCGGCCATCATCTCAGATCGAGACAAAATCTTCACCAGTAACGTGTGACAAGAATTGTTTCGCCTCTGTCGCATCGAGCTCCGTCTCAGTTCCTCCTACCACCCTCAAACGGACGGACAGACCGTGAGGGTCAACCAATGTCTCGAAGGCTATCTCAGGTGCACGGTTCATTCATTCCCCGGCAACTGGTATAAATGGCCCGCGCTTGCTGAATATTGGTACAACACATCATATCACCCGGCGTCTGGGAGGACTCCACTCGAGGTCATTTACGGCCATCTTCCACAGGAGTTTGGAGTCATTCAGGTCGATGAATGCTCAGTTCCAAACTTAGCTGCTTGGTTACAGGAACGAGAAATCATGCTCGAGCACCTTCAGCAACAATTGAAGCGCGCGCAGGACCGGATGAAAACGCAGGCTGACAAGTGGCGCACCGATCGGGAATTCCAGGTGGGCGATGTTGTACTCCTCAAACTAAAGCCCTTCATACAGTCATCCGTGGCGTGGAGGCACGCGTGGAGGCCGTGGCGTACAAGCTGCAATTGCCGGACACAAGCAAGATTCACCCCGTAGTGAATATTTCTCAATTGAAAAAAGTAGAAGGAGCCACCGCTCCGGTAAGTGCTGATCTTCCTCCGAAGAATTCTATCTTGCAGGGAGAGCATGTTCCTGAGAGAGTGCTGGAACACAAGCTGGTGCGTGTGGCGGGTACCGATCGCCACCGTGTTCGTGTTCAATGGAGCCAACTCCGGAGTCAATGTCAACTTGGGAAGACCCAACGGCGCTCCAACAACGGTTTCCGACGACTCCGCCTTGGGGACAAGGCGGCACACAAGAGGGGGAGAATGTCACATCCGGCACGCTTGGCAAGAAGAGCCGAGAATGGCAAAGCCCAGGGTCCGGTGGCAAGGTAGGAAGAGAGCGGCAAAGAGCTGAAGTTGGCTGACTAGTGGGTCCAGTCACGCGTTGTGTGTGTATGGCCTGAGGCTGGGTTGGTGGGGATATATGCGGCTGTGCCGTGAGTTAGGGGATATGAGGTATTAGGTGAAACGAACAGAGAAGGAAGAGAAGCTGTCCTTCGTCTTCCTCCTGCTGATCCTCCTTTCCTCCTACCCTTCCAATTCCCCTGCTCCTCTTCTAACCCTAGATCAAGAGGCCCGTTACATAGGTGCTCTGCCAACTCTCCATCGACCACTGCCCGAATGCATCTAGACATAGAACATTCGAGTAATGAGTGTCTCCATGAGTCCTCTGCACCACACAGGCCACAGGAGCTAGTACATTTGAAACGGTGCCACTAAGATTACACTTTGATGACGCCCCGACGATGCCATGCCTTGGTCGCAAGTGCACGTCATTGATAATCAACGCCTCGCGCTGACACGAATAGGCAATGCCATGAAACTCATTTCACGAGGCATGCAGGTCCATGGCCCGGTCATCCACACTGCCGTCCAGCATCACTGGCACTGTTGCCGAGCAGCATCTCGGCCACGCACGCCACACCATAGCACAACACCACACGGAACCGATCGACCGAGTACCTCGCGATCGAGGTTTTTCTCCACGAACAGAACAGGTACGCACATGTGGAGCTCAACATGTAGGTCGGAAACCAGCCAAGGCCCCAGGTTCATTTTCGCACCTAAAAGTGCCATGCGTGTTCCACAAGACCATGCCACACTCTCACACTAGCCTGGATCGTCTTGGTCATAAGATTAGGTAAGCTGGACTTGGCGTGCTTAGGAGAAAAAAACTACTAATAGTAAGCGTACTGGTTAGGGTTAGCTGCCATTCGTGCGGCGCGCGGACTGGCAGCTAGCACGGCTTAGATTCGGGATCACCGCTCACCAGGGGCCGGGGGAGAAGGTACGACCCAGGGCTAGGTTTCAGAAACTAGGAAGAAACATTTCTGAGATGGATCTGCAAATGGTTAAGCATTAGGTGATCGGTTTGTGCGCTCATCGCACGCAAGCACGCGATTTCGAGAAACTAAAGCAGGTCGGCTACTTGACATGTACTCCTACCGTACCCCTCCCTCCCTCGACCACGGCCTGCAAGCCGGTCAAGAGTGAGCTCAACGACATGCGGTCGAGCTACGTAGCATAGCCACTTCTGGACTTCTGGCGTTCTGCATGCAATGCACGCGCAAAAGAGGAGCAGGCTGTACTCGACAGCGACCGACTTTTAAATTGGCGCGCAGTATAGAATGGATGAATCAGTTTATTGTTGCGCGTCGTCAAAATGTCTCAAGGCTATGGTGGCAAAATTTTGGTCCCTTGAACTTTGCCAAACCGGTGAAATTTAACCGAGATTCAGTTGCACGTGCAATAGACGCTCTATTTGTGAGGTCTGCCTGAATCTCTCGGATTATGAAATGATGTGAAGCTCCTGCTGCCCCTCTTTTTTCAGAAAATTTGTGGTTCACTTGAATGTCTCGGATTGTTTCCATGCGACTGGCGCAGTGGGATTTCCGCAGAATCATTTGAAAACTGTCCGTTGCCATTGCTGCCTAGCTGGCACATCAAGCATTTTGACACGTGTCATTCTCTGCGCCTACCTGACGCTACGTGAACAATGCATAAGATTACTCTTTAAAAAAAAAAGAGGATTACCCCTCTTCATCAGAACCATGCATGTGGCCTTCTTATTAAAAGGTGCCACTCTTGTCCCTTTTTTTTTCGAAACGGTCTCCTGTCCAACAGATCAATGTAGGGTGCCATCTGTGCATATCTGCACTGCCCACACCACGAATAGAACTGGTGAAAACTTGTGAATCTTGGTAAGAACTGAAAACACGCTTCCCATTCCTCATCCATCGGAAGCCCTGAACTGAAGCATCAAGGTACAGAACTAGGTCTGGCATAGTCAACAGAACTAGGTCGGAACTACACCCCGACGCCAGTTTAGGTGTGATTTTAATTTTTTAAGAGAAGTTTAGGTGTGATTTATGCAGACGTCCTCAGGTAAACAAAGTCCAGGAGACAAGTGAAGAGTAGTTGGTTCTTGTATACCAAACACTGGCACCTGACTGGCACAGACCATCATTTTCATATGGCACTGGGTCATGCAGTCACGGCTCACAGGGCCATATATAGCATCAATCATGCATCCCTGAAATAGAGCAACCAACATCCCAGGCCACAGTTGTTTAAGCCACTCACTCTAGCTTGCATATCATAAGCTTCAACTAGCCGGTTCAACTCAACTGCATAATCTGCACAGACAGGAAGCAGCAGGCTCTGCGAGAGTTGAAACGATCTTCTGTCTGTTGCCATGGCCTCCTTCAAGCTGACGAACCTGTGCTTCATAGTTGTCATGTTCTTTGCTGTCTTCTCCTGTTGCAGAGGTAAAGTTCAGCTCTGGTTTGCATCACTTGTTAAACTGTTAATCTTTTCATTACAGAAGACGCTAATCCGTTTTTCGTTTCGTCTCAACAATGCAGGGCAGGGAGGTGGTGGTGCTGGAGCAGGAGCGGGAGGCGGAGGGGGGTCGGGCATTGGTGCGATAGTACCAGGGACGCAGGACTCGGTCCAGATTGTGGCGCAAGCTGCTCTCTGCTTTGACAACAGACCAGTAAATAATCATCTCTCGTCTGCGCTTGTAGACTTGTAGTGGCATCGTTCAGCAGCCAGCTAATGAACAGCAAACTTTGCGTGGCAGGTGCTCACCGGGTGCCTGCAGGCGATGGGCATCAATGCCAGCGGCACCGGCGCGAGCATGCCGCCGCCTGCCCCGGGCGGCGCGTCGACGGCGATCATGTGCAGCCCGCCGTGCTTCGGGCACGTGACCATGATGATGAGCTGCGTCAACGCCATCTTCGGCAACTTCGTCAGCTACAACCCCGGCCTCATGCAGGGCGTCCAGGCCGTCTTCCAGATGTCCTGCGGCAACGTCAACGGCCCAGGAGGAGCCGGAGCAGGAGCCGGCGGTGCTGCCGGTGCAATGGGAGGCGGGCCGGCTGGTAACGCTGGTGGTGGTGCTGGTGCCGGCGGTGCCAGTGGTGGAGTTGGAGGCGGGGCTGCCGGTGGCATTCCTAACGGCATCGGCGGGCCCGGTGGCATTCCGAACAGTATGGGCGGTGCCGCTGGCGGAGGCGGTGGCGCGGCCGGTGCTAGCGGTGGAGGTGCCAGTGGTACTACTAACAGCATCGGCGGGGCCATGGGCGGAGGCGCCGGTGCCGGAGGAGCTAGCGGTGGGGCTGGAGGCGGCAACGACACTACCAACGGCGGCGCTGCCACCGGTGCCATTGGCAGCGACAACATCACAAGCGTTTCACCCAATGCAGGTACTCCCTCCTCCGTCCAAGTCCATAGGACATCTAAGGAACTGCATCACAACCTAGGTGCATGGAGATTGGATAGAGGATGCTAAATCAAAAATCAATGGCAATAATTAATCTTCTTTCGCCTGCTTAAAAAATTGGGAAGAGCCAATCACTACATTGGTTTTTCCTTGTCATTAATTTTCTAAGAGCAGCATGCAAATCCTATTTAATGCGTGAACCAATGAAAGTAGTAGCATGTAAAATGAAAATTAATGGTCGTGGGAATGAGGAGCTCCTTCCGTACATGGTGACTTATGTATTTGAAATAATAAATTTTCATTAGACGCCCTATGCACCTGGACGGAGGGAGTAAGAGTAATATCTAATTCCTGGAGCAAAAATTGCAGTGTAACTTTGCAACAGGCGAAGAAATCTTCAGTGTGGTACTAACATTTTTGCGTGGACGTGCACTTGCAGGCTCGCACGTGGCGGTGAGCAACCAAAGTCAGCCGACCAGCAGCGCGGGCGGGCCCACTCTCAGTCTCAAAGGCGCCTGCTCCTCCGTGCTGGCGATCTGGGCCGGCGCATGGCTGGTGCTGTTCTAGGTTTGACAGAAACGGCGACGGGCACGTTGCAGCGGGTTGTGATGATCTCGTCTTGATGAATGCTGTGTTTGCACGTGTTGTTTTCAGCCTCCTAATGTTGATGGCCTTCTGTCCAAAAAAAGAAAAATGTTGATGACCTGGTTGTGCTTGATCATTCCTATAACTCGGATCAGTTTTGTCCAGAATGATCCAACTGGGTGGCACCTCCATCCTTAGAGAAAAATTCATCACATGTCACAAAACTTGAGCCGGCTGATACTTTAGTACCACTACTTCAAAATATCCGAACTACAGTCCATGTACTTGCGCAGAGGGTTCACTTTGGTCCGTATATACGAATTTGCCTACGTATTCGCTGACTTGGCCGAGTCAGCTGTTGCCAGCTAGGCTTTGACCGCCACCTCTGTAGCACCTGGTCGCGGGGGAGGGGGGGGTGTTAATACTAGTAGTTCGTTTTTTTTTGCAAATGCGCCAACACTTGACCATTAAACGCTCGCGCACCTGGTCGGACCGCACCCTCCCGCACATGTCTCCTCCCGCACCCTCTCTGCTCCCGCATCCTCTCTGCTCGTCGTCGCTGCCGAGGTAGTGCCTTTGCTCGTCGGCGTCGACGACGGCTCCATGAGCACGTCGTCGGACGCTGAGCCGCCGCCGTCCGCACCGTTCGGTAGGGGCCTGCGCGGCGTGCCTCTTGCTCCTTCGCGTCGTCGTGATGATGCATCACCGCCCCTGTACGGTACGTCGTCGTCGCCAGCAGCTCCGTTGCTCGATCTATCCAATTTAGCTCCCGTAAAGAGTTCTTGGTCGCATCAATTGCGCGTACGAGCTAGTGTTTGGGCGTTCATTCAACTCTCTGATGGATTGGGTGTGGGGTGGTAGGGTTTTAGCAGTTTCTTGAAGAACTTTGTGGCAGGCCAAAAATAGGGCTGCGTCATGGGG